CAGAGGGTTGGTGTTTTACAACTCCTAAACCCTAAATACCACCTAGGGGTGCAGTTTAGTTTGGAGTGGAATGTCTGGCAACATAATCCCGCAACCCCGAATCGCCTAAAAGCCTGAACTCCTAACAAGCCCCAAACCTAAATCTAAATCTTTACACTTAGTTCTTACTTCACCTAAGAAACCAAAGGTCCTTTCTTAAAGCATGCTAGTTCCCAGCGCCGAGCCAGTAAACCCTCAACCTCACATGAATCAGCACGCACTGAACTCGGTTTTTAAACCTGGTGATCGGCAGCACATTCCCTTGACGCACGAGGTGGACTGATTTGAGCCCTGGGCTGAATTTGTAGTAGAAGAACCCTTAATAGGTCCCCCCCAAAACCCTATATGGTCCCCTATAGGTCCCGCCCAACCTAAAATTAGTCCGTGGCACATTTGAGGTTTAAGAGTCTAAAGCCACCTCCAAGGCTCAGACCATGAGGTAGCCCAGACCCCTGATTATTAAACCCTCTCCCCTTAATATGGATTGTAATAAGGATCCGAATATTAAGGCCCTTAAAAGGAGGGGTTTTTGTTAAGTCATGGGTCTGCATTAGAAGGCTTAGGGCTGAGGGCTCCATTGCGTAGTGCAGGTGGGGATAACCTACAATCAGGTGTATAGTCCCCCTTAGATAGAATATGGCTTTGGGTATTTTCTTAATAAAATCCACCTATACCCCATGTTCTATCCCATGTTCTATCTACTTAAAGGGGGACTACACTTTTTGGCGATCCTATTAAGAAGGGTTATGGCATCCTAGGATCTATATTGGGGCCCCCGTATTTTGGGAAACCACCAGATCTTCTACGAACCGTAACCCGCCACGAATCGACTGTTGTAGGTTTGGAAGTGCCAAATTGTCCACGTCATGGGAAGAACATGACCATACACTGGGACATTTGGGAAGAACATGACCATACACTGGGACATTGCATTCGTTTAGATGTTACGTGTAGGACGGAGAGTGCAAGGTTTAGGGCTGCGCGCGTCATGGAGGTTGAGGGTTTACGTTGGATACTGCCCCCAAGTATTACCAGTTCAAAAATGTCTATATCATAGTTTTATATAGCCCTAGGCACTAACAGCTGGACAATGTTTACATAATATTTTTGCACAGCATTGATAACTTCCCCGTGTATGCCCCTTACTCACCCTTATAATGCTCCGCTATAGAACCCCCTATATAATCCCTGTTTAAGGAGTTTAGACCCTAAGCCCTTAACTCAAGGCCAGTCCGTCCACCTAGTGTAGGTGGGCGGCGCCTAAGCCCCTGGCCCTCGATGGCGAAAGGTCTCTAGCGCGATGGGCCCATGGGCCCGGTATCGGAAGGAGTTAGTACTGGTTGCTTAATAGAGTCATTGCCCTACACCCTAAACCTCTCATTCTCGGGGTGGCTTGGAAAAAGGGCCATTCTGGGGGTCCTGGGACTGCAGAGGGAGGGCACAAATGGCCTCCAGAACTCCCAACGACCAAAAGACTTCCCAGAACCAAACACTTCTTCTCCTCCCCACAGTCCCACCAAACATAGACTTCTTTGAATGCATCTCGATTCGGAGCAGGGCTTGACCAAGATAGGCCGGACGGAGTTTAGGTCCGGGACCCTGAAAGGAATAGGTTTGGGTGGCTTGGCCGCCTCATACGGAGTGGGGTGGGTGAATATGTTAAAAGGCCTTCTGCAGTCAGGCCCAGCACCTCGCAAGCCGCGATGCACTCGACATCAGTTTGCAGCTCGTCCTTTGCATGCTCCACGCAACATCACAGCAAACCCTAAACCCTAAACCCTTTGTGTATATATATATATAGGTATATGTATATATTGAATATAGTGTATATATATATATACATATGTATAAATAATCCTCTATATAACCCGCCTTTAAGGAGTTTCGATTATGGCTCGGCTTCGCTCTCCTCCCAAGAAGACTTGCCAGCCATTCACATTCCGCGATGGTGTCCTCCTCCTGGTAGAATGTCCTGAGCACGGTGTTTACGGCTTAGGGTTTAGGTCTAAGGTATAGTGTTTAGGGCGTCGGGTTTAGGGTATAGGATTTAGGGCTTAGGGTTTAGGGCTTAAGGATTACCACAGCAACTGTGCTTGATCTGGCCGTTTTAGACTAGATCCAGACCCTGACACGAACCCGCATTTATTGAGTTGCTGGCAATGGAGTCAACTGAAGTTACCAGAACAAGGGAACCCTACTACTTGCTACATACCCATTGTATATATGCTAACTTAATTTAGCTCCTTAATAGCAACCCCGGCCTAAACCGTAAATCCTAAACCTGCATGTAAGGTGAGGCCGGACGAGGTCAGTACAATTTGCCCAGTTGAACCGATTATAGCCCGCAGTCCCTCTCGCCTCAGAGTCCTGGCCATTGACCTGCTTACACATAGCCTTCCCTTTCAAGGAGGAAATACGGGATTTGTATATATATATATTTATTTATTTATATGAATAGATATATATATATACACATCTATACATACATATATACATATATTCATATTCTCTGTTTATCTCACTTCTGTAAGTCGGGTATGTAGGGTCAAAGGTTTAGGGGACATTACCCCAATAGTGGTCACTGACATGGTAAAGAGCCTCTCACTCACTCCAAAGCCGAAGCTTCGAACTTGAAATCCTTTTAGCCTCGAACCCCCAGGGTTCAAGAGTTTAGGGTTTAGGGTTTAAGCCCCTGACCCCCCGCAGCTTAAGGGTTAGCCTCGAACCCACAGGGTTAAAAAGTGTTTTAGCCCCTGACCCCCACAGGTTTAGGGATTAGCCTCGAACCCCCACGGTTTTAGAGTTCAGGATTTAGGGTTCAGTCTCAGATCCCCACGGTTTAATGGTTTAGGGTGCTAGCCTCGAATTCCAAAGTTTCAGGGGTTTGGGGGTTTAGGGTTTAAGGTTTAGATCTTAGCCTCTAACCCGAAGAACGCCTGAGTGTGCCGCAGCAAACCTTCATGGCAGACCAAAGTTGTGGGAGGAGACTTAGCATGACTTCATGGCCCCAAACCACCTTAGCCCTACAGGGTTTGGGGTTTAGTAACACCTAGACCCTATCAAAACCAATAAGCCCCATCTTTCGAACCCAGAACTGATTCCTGACAAGACGGGGGACCACGACGCAACAGCAGAAGCAAGCACATGCAAGCTTCAAGCAGGAAGATAAGCCTTATTCAGACCCTGAACACCAAGGTTCCAGATCGCAAAGCTAATCCTAAAGGCCACACATCCTTGTTGGGCAAACCTAAATCCTCACCCCCAAGCCCTCAGCAATAAGTGGGGTTTTCGTTGCCCAGGCCAAAACCCCTAAATTAGGACCCTACTACAACCATGTGATAATCATCCGGTTCTTATCAGAAGGGCTGGGGCACCCTAAAGCTTGAAACCTAAACCGACCCAAAGAGCCCAGAACCCAAGACCGAGGTTCTCAGCCGAGCTTGGTTGCTCCATGTGGCCCTTGAGAAGGCCTTCGTAGAAGATGTCCGGAAAGCCGGCAGGTGCAAACCCTTTGTCACCGATCCTGGGGTCTAGGGTTTGGAGTTGGGCTTGAACGGATCAACCCTAGAACTGTATGAGTCCGTACTAAATCGGGAATCCCATGTCTGCGTTTGGAAGCCAGGTTCATACCCTAAACCCCCTAAACTGCACAGTTAAGGGATTCGGCTGTGGCAACTTCGAAACGACCGTGAAAGCTTGAATGACTTTAGCCCTCAACTGCGCATAGTACAGGGTTTAGGGTTTGGGGTCTGGGGTTTACGGGTTTAGGGGCGCAAGGTTTAAGGTTTTACCCCGAAATGCGGTTCTAATGATTTAGGCCCTTACAATCTTACAATTACCTCCAACTCCTGACTTTGAAGCCCCGTTTCCAAGGACGGCAGACTTGCCAGATTCTCGTTTGGGCTAACATGTTGCCTTTGGGAGGGCACAAATCCTTTAACAATTGCATGATAAAGCGCCTGGGCCCTAAACCTTAAAGAGAAGCAGAACGCTTCCAACCGGACAAAGTCATGGGAAATTGTTAGAGGGAGTTTTATGTCCAGATGAAGCGCGAAACAAATAGGTTACATCTCCAATTAAGCCTTTCAGGATTCAATGCTAACGTGACCACCTGCGAATAACATGCTGCGTGTGCATGACTGTTTGCAGTCATGGCGGGGTGTTTGCCAGGATAGACTACTAGACCTCAATGGCCGCGTAACCCATATACCAATACATCCTTATCGGGGTCCTAATGTGGATTTTTCTAATAGCCTAATCACCCATACTGGGAAGGCTAGATGAAGCTTGAGCTATAGTCTGAACTCCCCATTTCTGACCTAGCCTTGAGGAGTTTAGACTATAGCTCACGTGGCTTTCCTTGCACGAAGCCTTACTAAGCGCCACCACGCCGCACATAGCCAGCCCTACGCAAAGCCATGGGTACGTCCGTCAAACCGTCCTTGCTCAAAACGAAGCCTAGCATCATCTGGCCTACTGACACAGCCCATAGCCTAAAGTCAGAGGCCATATGCTCTAAAAAACTCAACCCAGGGCTCCTGGTTCGAGATCCTACGAAAGCTTGAAATGCTAGAACTTTGCCTGGCGCAGCGTATGAGACAAACAACTGTAAGGAAACACATTGAGAGGCGAAAACCCTCAAGTAGAAAACCACACACACAAAATATCACAACATCCGTTCGGATCCCCAACGTACTTTTTAGCAACATGTCATCGCATAAGGAGCGCTGGGCTTCCTGCATCCCTGCACCCTGACCCCTATACCCTACGATGCCCTACGAGCCCAGACCCCGAACACCTAACGCCCTAGACCCTAGAACCCTTAAATCCGGATATCCTAATGCCTAAACTAAACCCTAACAGCCTGAACCCCTAGAACTCCAACCTCTAAATCAAACAACCTAAAACCCTAAACCCTAAATCCCTAAACTGAAAAGCCCCTTTGAGTAGCCCAGCATCACATACGCCCGCGCTAGCCATTCGCCAAGAAAGCCATACTGCTCGAGGGTCTCCAGGAATTGACAAAGTGAAGGGGGGGCTTAGGGTTTAGAGTTTACAGTTTAGGGCTAAGGGTTTAGGGTTCAGGGTTTAGGGCTTTAGGGGGTTAGGTACATACAGTGGCTATAGGGAAGGGCAAGAAAATGGACAAATGGAACATGAAATACAAACTTGTTTTCACAGTTGTTTGTGGAGCGGCTTACTTAGAGGCTCTGGGGACTTAGTAAATAGGTACTAAAGGGGATGCAGGCAGACGAGCCCAAATTAGGTGACTTAAGGCCGCAGCTTCAACCTACCTACGAAGTTCCCGGAGCCTTTAAGTAACCTTTCTACCAAATCCCAACCCTAAACCCTAAACCCTGGACCCTAAACCTTAAACCCTGAACAACTCTAAACCCTAAACCCTAGACCCTAAACCCTAAATCCATCCATGCCTGAAAGTAGGGTTTGAGGGCTTGCTTGTTAAGAGTCCAAGGCTCAAAGCTTTGTTGAGGGCAGGTTCGGGGTTTAGGGTTTAGGGTTCAGGATTTTGGATTGAAGGTAGAGGGTGCAGTAAGAAGGTTTTCAAGACTTATTGAGAACCTACAGTATGGGGTGTGTGTCAAATCGCGTTGATCTAAGATCCCTAAGCCCTAAACGCTCAGAGTCTCTACTGAACATGCATGTTGGGCAGAATCCCAAAGCTTGACTGCTCAACGCCAAGCACCCTCTACTTTTCCTAGGGTATGTCCGTGTGAAGCCCGGACGGTGACAGACATCCGCCCACCGAACTCAACTCTTGCTGTGGAGTGGGCGAGTGAAACTTGGCTCCTCAGCACAGGGACTACACATGAAGCATAACGAGGAGCCAGTCCCCCCCCCACTACTTCCTAAACCTTAGCATCCCAACATCCAAGCGCAAAACCCCCTTAACAACAAATCCGCCTTCCCCGCTGCCCCCGGTACAGAAGAAATCCCTCGGTTCGATTCGAAAACTGCATAGAGACTGCTTCCGAGCGTGGGGCGAGGAGTGCCAATCTCCCTGTTGAAAGGGGAAGGGGATGACCTAGGTACCTCATGTACATGTACTATCAGCCCCCCTGCGGTTTAGGGTTTACGGCTTACCGGCCCCAATCATTTTTTTTTTTTAAGGGGTGCTTTTGGTATTCATGGTAGCTTAGGTGTTTAAAGCTCTTAATCTCTAAAACCCTAACCCTAAAACCCCTAATCAAGTACTAAGCCCGAAGCCTCCCTAAAAACCCTGACGCCCAAAGCCTAAAACCCCCTAAGCCTTTAACCCTCAAAACCCTGAAGCCCGAAGCCTGAAGCCCCTATGCCTTTAACTCTAAAAACACTAAAACCCAAAATACTAAATCCATGAACCGTAAACCCTATAACCAACAACCCCAAAACGCCGAACCCTGGAACCTTTGTGCGAACATTCTGGGCCTGAACCGGTAGTTTGCCTGGGTTGAGGATGCCTAGGCCTGCCTTAGCTGAACGTAGAACTGGCACGCTTCAGGGTTTAGGCTCTTAGGGTTTGGGGTTTCGGGCTTCGGGTTTAAGAGTTTGGTGTTTAGGATTTAGGGTTTGGGGCTTAGTGTTTAGGGCTTGGGGTTGAGGGATTTAGGCTCTTAGGGTTTGGGCTGCGCGTTTAGGATTTAGGATTTGCGGTTTGAGGCTTAGGCTCACCAAGATCCGGAGCTCTCCGGCACTGGGCAAGCAATGGCGCACCACCAGCTCGTTGAGGGTCTCGTTTCGGATTTCGGATATGCTGCAGAGTCGCTTCGAGTGCGTCGTGCAGTGCGAGATATGCTGCTATGGGCTGAATGGGGCTGGCCATCCCGTCCAGGGCGGCTAAACACTACCCAAACCTAAATATTCCAATTAGGGCTTAGGACCTAAAACCACTTACGTTCATCTGGAGGCGCTGCCCGCAATTTGCTCGTAGAGGAGGCTCGGGATCTTGGGCTCCACCCAAAAGGGCCCGGGAAAAAATCTGCTCCATGGAGACCATCACTTGAAAAAAGCGACACCCTACTTTTCCCATGCCTGGCAGATGATTGGTGTGGGGTGCCTTCCGCCATTTGGGGCGAGGGGCACATGCACACCCAGCATCGTTGGTGGGCACAAGCCTTCGGTTTAGGGTTTTTTTGGACATTTGCTTAAGTTCCCTGGAACCTTGGTAGTATACGTAGGTTCCCCGGAACCTTGGTAGTATACTTGACACAGGCTTCGTGCAAGAATACTCAGAAATCACAAACATAGGAGACCCAAGTTGAAACATGATAGCAGATGAAATGGAGCTTGGCATGATGCAGTTGTTTTACGCACTATGTGATGTACATGCCTGAAGAATCACCCGTTTTACTCCACTGCGGTCCTTGCACAAAGCTCTATTCTCACTAGATAGGCCTTTACATTAGAATTGACCTGCGGCTTGCGGCTTCTAGAATGCAAAAAGGCTGCGCTTGCTTCAGCAAAAACAATTCGGAGGGTGCGTCTCTTCAGAAGATTTCAACTGCAGCAAAATATCGTGCAACCCCGGAACTCTCCTTAAACCCTAAAACCTCACCGCGAAGCTTTTCCAGTACAAGGCTAAGTCCCTGAAAAATGCCCCGTAGAAACAAACCCACCCATCGCTAATCATAAGTACTATCAACCCGTGTTACATAGAAAAGATACTATCTTACTACCAGGGGGTTGGTTGGTGACCATTAGACGTGTAGCTTTGGGGAAGATGATCGCAGATGCCCGCCAAGCGTCGGTATACGCGGAGACCATCCAATACCTGAGGAAACCTTCGCGTCCAGAGTCCTTCCAGAGTCCGGGTATGCGGCTTTGGGCTTCGGATTGATGGGCCATGTGCGGGGCTTCGGGTTTTAGTTTGGGGGCAGGATAAGACCTAAGCCCTAATGTAAATTCTGAATTAAGGCTCTTACTAGGACCCCAATCATAGATTCCGAAGCTTTGGCCCCCAAAGCCCAAACCTTCCCCTCAGAAAGCCCAAAATCATAAGCCTAAACCCTAAACCCAAAACCCAAAACCCTTATCAGTTGTTCCCTTTTTCACTTAAGAGTCCTGTGTAAAAGCCTCCATATTGCCAGTATAAATCCCCGTTATCATCCTTCCATAGCCAAAGTACAATATCATGCCCCCCCCCTCCATACTTCTGTTCACATTTTTTAGGCCCCTAGACTCAATCGCGATATCCCCCCTATGCCAACCCAGCTCTAAACGCTGAACCCTAAACCCTCAAGCCCATATAAACTTACCGAGTTTCCTTAGCTTTAGAATTTCAAGCTCAAAAATGATACCCCCAAACGCTAAGTAATGGAAACACACCCTGTTTTTGTTCAACCCAGACTCTGGTCCACGGTAAGCACCCTAAACCCTAAACCCTGAACCCTAAACCTTAAGCCCTAAACCCCTAAACCCTAAACCCTAAACCCCTAAACCCTAATCCAGTGCTTCCCCGGATTCCTGCTTCGCTTGTGCAACGGCCCACCGTGCGCGCGAGGCCCAGAGGTTTACCAGACCCTCATCCGCCACGTTTGACACCTCCTGGATCTTAAAAAGGGTTGTAGGGGTTTAGGGTTTAGGGTTTTAGGGTTTAGGGTTTAGGGTTTTAGGGTTTGGAGTTTAGGGTTTAGGGTTTAAGGGTTTCGGGTTTTAGGGTTGTAGGGTTTATAATGCCCCTGAAGTAGATAGAATATGGGGTATATGGACATCTTATTACAATATACCCAAAGCCATATTCTATCTACTAAAGGGGGACTATAGGGTCTGGAGTTGGTTCGGGAAGAGAAAGTGGAAACATGAAATATGCACCGGGACTATATGAGCTATCATCTAAACTCCTAGTATCCACGACAATATCCCCTACAGCAGTCCCATAAATGATCCCCAATATAACGCCGCTCTCAGGAGTTTAGACTATAGCTCATATGGAGCTTTGTAACGTATAGGGTCCTATTCAATTAGACCAGCTGTTTCCTCTACATTCTAAGATAAAAGTGCCGTGGTTGTAAGGAAGAGCCTCAAGAAGTTGTTGGGGCTTCGACATGAGGATGAAAACTTTGATCGGTAGCCCAAGGCGCGCTGGCCTAATCTCGAGCTATCCTATGAAAAAACCAGAATTCTACAAGGAATTTAGCACTATAAGATCGGTAAATTTCCAGGCTCCAGCATTGTGCTCACTAAGGCGCCATAACTCGCGAAAAACAACGAAAAAAACATTCTGCTTCAGGATCTACTGGGAAGCAGATGGGGGTTACATACCAGGCTCCCTCTGCGAATCTCCACGGCTTTGGCCTGTAGAGCTAGAAGGCCTGTGGCTTTGTTGTACCTATATACCCCCTTAAGTAGATAGAATATGGGGTATGTGGGGATCTATATATATTATACCCAAAGCCATATTCTATCTACTTAACGGGGACTGTATGCAAAGTTGAGGATTTAGGGTTTAGGGCTTAGTATGATCTGCTTCTGCACCGCTAAGCGCTACAAGCGCGAACTATGAACTCTTCAAAGGAATACAGGGTGGGAGTCCACCTCAGGAAATACCGACTGGATGCCACACCCTTATATAGCTGCAAAGCCAGACGGCACAGCTATCGGGACATACCATCCCTGCATAATCCCTATAGAGTATGTTCGCTTATGCCATACCAGCCCTAGACCCTAAATCCTCAACCTTAACCCCTATACCCTATAATATATACTATATGTATATATATATACCATGGAGCTCCGCTTTCATGATCTCATAGGCATCGCTCGCCATCATTGGGAGCAAGGGGGTGTGAGGGGTTGTATCAACTTACTGATTCTAAGTAGGGAATATGGGAATCAAATTATATATTATGTAGGGATTAAGTAGGGATTGTATTGCCTTATTCCCTACTAAGCAGCAGTGAGTCAAGGACAAAATCTAGGCTCAGTAAGTTCTAGAAACAGTTTTGTGCCCTGGTACAACCTCCCCCGCCCTCACACCGCTCTTCAAAATCCCCAGACAAGCTACAGGTAAAGCACGAACTCCTCATCAAACAGCAAGGACTTGTCCGTCCTGTCTTGCAAGGCCCCAGACCTTCGAGAGTGCAGATAGGCCAGCACGAAGGTAGCCTTCCTTCAGGGACGTGACGTGAAATGACATGTATAGGGTCTGATGGACTGTAGGGTTTTTTGACCTTAAGCCGTCAGCCGAACCATCAGAATACCTCAGCCGTCAGCCGTGGACGAATCCCTATAGTCCCCCTATATTAATTTCTTACCCTTATATTACGGTTTAGGGCTTATAGGGTTGAAGTTCAGTTTCATTGTTCATCCTGGCTGGGATGCACGTTGCACACCAAGCTCCTAAAGCTTACCCACTGGACAGATAAGGAGCCAACATAATCCGTGTCTGCAGCAGGAAACACGTGCTTTCCACATTTTCTGCGTGCCTGCATTGGGGGCTCTCTGTACACATTGTTGTCGCGCATTGCGGCTCAGTAAAATCGGCACAGCAAATCGAAGCGGACAAGCATCCATGATGCAGCGTCCTTCTGTACACGACTGGAGGCGGTGGACGCTCAGTACAGTACAAGGCGCTTGTAAACTCTAATCGACTACCCGAGCAACCCAAAGAGTTAATCAGAACCTATCCTATCTACCCCAAACCCTAAGGACAAAATCCACAAACCTATGTCACAGAATCTACTCTCCCTCACTGCCAGACGTCGTCTGGTCGTGCTTTGTGGACACCAAGAGTCGAGGGTCGTGGGGTCCTCAGCTTCTTTCGGCGCGCCATCATTCGAGGGATTAGGGTCCTATTGTTGGCGGCTGAAACGTATAGGGTTCTGGTTACTCCAACTTGAAAGGAGGGCGTGGCGTAAATTGCCAAGCAGTTCTGGGATGGACTTTCCTCCAAAAAGTCAGTTCAATCTCAGCCGAAGCACCACGCATGTCAGTTGCCTCCTGGTGAAGAACAGCAAGTAAACTTTCCCAGCCTGGGAGCTTCTCTACGCGCGGTATCCAGTATGCCTGGGTTGCTGTTAAGGAACTTAAGCTAAGTTACCATTATGGGTATATATAGTGATTTACATGGTTTCCCCACTATAGCCACTTAAGATAAGCTCCTTAACAGCAACCCAGATGCTGGAGACCGTCCGAGGACTTCTTGATTCGGCATGAACAAGAATGGGCGGACTTTGGGGAGAGATAGCATTGGCCGAAGGACATCCATGCGATCATCCACGAAGCCATCCAGGCGCAGGCTTGCTACCATAGGGGCTTTATCCTTCACATCCCGGCAAAAATGTACATTGTCATGCTGAATGCCTGTCCTTTCAAAAAAGCCAGAATGCTCCATCCACTCGCGCGTCCTCAACTCTGTCTCAGGTCCACACTTGGAGATGATGTGCACATTGTGGCTTCCAAGGCTGCCCACGACGAAGGCGAGGGACTCAAGTGCCATTGGGGCAGCACGCACTTGCAGGTAGTCCTCCCCAGTAAGTCCTGCAGTGTCCTCTTCCGAGTCCTCCCGGTGCTGCACGATGACTCCTCCCACATCAAAGCCGATACGCGCAATGCGTGCCTTGGGCTGAGGTTCCTCGGAAGCTTTGTCCAAGCAAGCTGGACAAGCTTCAAGGCTGCTGACCGCTTCAGCGCACCATGTGTGCATGATGTGACTCTGCAGCGCCTCTCCACTCTCTGGATCTTCTGCCAGCTGGCAAAGTGCGCGATGGCGCTGGGTGTCAACGAGCGCAGCAGCCTTGGCCCCAAATCCTATTCTTTCCTGGCAGCATGCACACAACAAGTCCTCCCCGCCGGAGATGCAGTGGCTCTCAAATGTAATCAAACCAACGGCGGAGTCGACGAGTGAAGTGATGTTCACACGGCCATCAATTTTTGCCATGTTGCTGGCAGGAAATTGTGCAACTTTTAAACGGAGTCCTGCTTTGCCACAAGAGGTTTGGTGAGCTTGTTTTGCATGCTTGTGGCAAAACAACCGGTACGTGTCCTAGCTCTCGAGCTTCGGCATGACATAACTCCAGTTTCCATTTCGTTGTTGTCTTGTTTGATTTCATGAACCCTACACACGATCATGGTGTCACTTGAGCTTCGTGCTTTCCTGATGCTCCTCCCGAACTAGAACATGATACGGCAAATTGGATGATTGCATATCTGACCTGCTTTAGATTGTAGACACGGCGGGTGCGACGCTTCGTTTGGGATGCTGGTGAAGACATGAGCGCCAGATGATGTGGCAATGCAATATACATACTTACTGGTGCTTAGTAGGGAATAAGGGACTGTAATCTCTAGATACTCCCCAGATAGTCCCTATATATGGTATTTCCCTATTCCCTTCAAACTCCCAGTAAGTCTAGGGACATCCCATAGTCCAGGTAATTTAGCTAACCGCGGAGTGTACCACAGTAAGTACTTAGATGGCCTGAAAATCAACTAAATGGCTGTAATTCTGACTATAAGCCCATATATCTCCATGTAACCCCACTATGATTATCAGTAGGTACGTAGATGGCCTGGCAAGCAACTAAATGGCTAGTCATTCTGACTATGATACCTTATATCCCCACGTAACCCTGTTATGATTATGTCTGCTGGCCATTCAGCAAATTCCCAGCCCATCTACGTATGTCGCAAGTCATGGCAAAACTGGGGGATATGGCGGGCGGCCTCCGAATGTCCCCATGTACTGTAGAATTTAGGGTTTAGGGCTTCGGGCTCATGACCTGCGTATGCTGTAGTACCTCAGCTGCCAGAACCTCTGTGCATAGAGAAGCCAACATAAAATGGGAAACTAAATCCCAATGCAACAAAGGAATCTTTACAAAAAAGCAGGGGCCCACAACTAAGGACTCCATACGACCTCTAAAGTTCTAAAGACCTCCTTGAGGTCCCCCAAAATCTCTTAGCATAGGGGGCCTGTAAAGGATCTCCCGGCTTTCTACAAAGGTTCCACCACTCTTGGAGGAGACTTCGGCAATAATTACACGCAACCTGAGCCATAAACACACAGGCCTTGCTTGAAAGGCTTGGGGGGGCTCGCAAAAATGTGCGGGCTTGCAGGGGAAACCCATGATTTTCAGCACTTTCTAAGTGTCATCAAACATCGCGGCCCGAAGCATGCCAAATCTGACGGGGGCTCTCATGGGGCTGCCTGGGCCACTCTAGTACAAGGGCCCCCGAAAATTGAGGGCCCTTTTAGGGACTAGGCATCTTTTGGGGGTTCATAGTCGTCATATGATTGTACACCGCCACATCCAGGGCTCTGCAAACTAAAACTACTGTTGATGAAGCAATCATGGTCGAACTGAGGCTCCTCAGTAAGTAGTTTAGGGTTTAGGTTTTAGGGTCTAGGGTTTAGGGTACACGTCTTAAAGCTTGGAGTGCTGATTGCACTGTTTAAGGACTTCCGCTGCCAATTAGCATGGGTCCTAAGATTTGGGGGGACTTAGGCTGATGCAGGACACTATGGCAGGCATTTGAGCTTTCTTCCATTGATTCTTGGCCTCCTACGCTTTGTCAAAATCCATTCTTATTGCGTGAAACATATCCAGGGAGCACAATAGCCCAATATTGGGGGTTTAGGGTTTGAGGCACGGGGTTATGCAGTGTGTTGGGGGTGAGTTGTATAGAGTTTACAGTAGTGCTTTATGCCAATTCATAGCCCGTATTTAGGGAGCCTTAGATCATACTAAGCCCCTGACAACATGTAAGGGAAGGCATATTCCTGACTTAAGGGGTACGGCGCCCTCTGGGGATTCTACACTGATAACGGTTGGCATCCCAGTTCACGACTACAGGCCCCATCACCTAGCCACTTTACACGACCTCCTGCTGGGACTTCTTCTGGTCCACGTTTAAGCTCCGATACTACATCCGTCTAATTTCACAACCACTTAACAACTTCCCTGAGGGGATAGTACTCGAACTTAATTCCAGGAACCTTCCTTGGCTTTAGCAAAACAAATCAATTCCAGCAATGACCCCCCAGACATCCCCGGACCCGTCTCCTTGTCAAATTCCTGTTTGATGTCAACGGCCAGGTCACGCCCATCAGCCATCAACTTCCGCAGGACGTCGTGGTCGCGTTCCTTCGGGCACAGCTTAGGATTCAAGGTTTAGGGCTGATGGCATGGTCAAAATACGGAGCTTGCTGCTGCTGCTGCTACTACTACTACTACTGTAGAAGCGCCCTTCTCCAGACACCGAGGCGTTTCAGGATTACAGGGTTCACAGCAATTTTGGAGGGCCAAGTGGGGAAGACATGCCAGGACAACCTCCAATAGTTCCTGCTACAAGCCGAAGACTCCACCAGGCGTGCAACGCAGTGCCTGAACAAGGATCACACCAAAACGAATTTGGGAATATAATGCATGGATAGCCCGTGAAATACATGCCCTTATTTCCTACTATGACCCCAACACATACACCATCAAGGTCCCGGAAACAACTTTGTAAAACAGCTGCTTAGTCCGCAAGACCCCTCAGTCCCCAAGCCACTCAACCCGTCAACTTGAACTCGCAGAGCCCTGAAATCCCTGAACATCCCAACTTCTAGCTCTTTACATGCATTGGGGCACTCCCAAAAATGAATTTCAGCTGGCATTTTGGCGGGAGGTATAATAAACACAACAAACCCAAACCCCAAAGCCTTCATCTGTGAAGAAAAACAATGGCCTTTACGCAGAGGGATTTAAGGCGCCGCCCCAACCTCTATGATAAGGATCCTATTAACTATCAGACGACTATGGCAGTCCCACCTTGTGGGGTGGGGGTAACGAAAATCTCGTTATCTAAGCCCTGAACGCTAAACCCTAAGCCCTACACCCTAAAACCTAAACCCTAAACCCCAAGCCCTAAACCCTAAACCCTAAACCCTAAGCCCTAAACCCTAAGCCCTCAACCCTAAACATTCACGCC